CTGCTGGCACCGCTTCTCACCTCCACTGCCATCTTTGAGGAACCAGAGGTTCTTAAGCTGATGACTAATAAGCTAAACCCTATAGGGCTCCTCTCAGAAGAGCTACCAGAAGCTCCTACTATAATTCTCTTCTGAAGCATTGTAATCACTAAAATGTGAGAGTTCAATGGCACACAACATTGAAATTAAATTGTAAGGAAGGCCAGAGTCCCCTGGTGCTTCCTTACCTTTAGGGGTTAAACCCAGTGGTGTATTTAGGATTTGTGCTGCCCTAGGCAGGACGGTGCTCTGGAACCCACCCCCCTACCCCCCAATTAAATTTTTCCACAACCCTTCCTGTCAAGGCCGCACTTTGACTGACAGATGCTCACTCATTGACAGACGCTCACTCATTGACAGATGCTCACTCTCCTATACACTGACAAACAATGACATACACACACACACTCACTGACAGACACACTTACTGACAGACTTACACTCGCACTGACATACACACGCACTCACTGATTTGACACACTGATAGACAGACACAAATTATTACTCGGACACACACTCACTGACAGACGCACACACATTTACTCACAGACACACACAGACACAAACACGATCACTTAGACACACACACTTACAGACACACACACACACACATTTCCACCAACACTCAACACTCTAAATTAATTTTTTAACATTTTATTTTAAATCCACCCAGCCTCTCTGGTAGAGCTGGAGTGGATTACTTACCTACGGTCCAGTGTGGCTGCTGGTCGGACAAGCAGTGGGCGACAGGTTGAGTAGGCGGTGAGGGAGCCTTAATCTTCCTGCTCCACTCCCTCGCGCACCGCTTAGTGATGCCGGGAGCCGTAGTGACGTAGTGACGTCATATTCCGGCTCCCGGCCTCATGAAGCAGTGAGGGAGCTGAGCAGGAAGAGCTCAGATGAGCATGCTCCCTCACAGCCCGCCACTCGCCTCAGGGGGGGCTCAAAAGTGGCCAGCCGGCCAGCTCTTGAGCCCCCCAGGACACAAGGCATACAAAGCATCCGCTCTATGTCAATCAGGGGTGCCTTGCTTGGCGGCAGGCCATGCTTCCTGGATAAGAATTAGAGAAAACGGATGTGGACGGTTACAGGGAGTTACGGCGCTTGAGAGTCAAATTAGGAATTAAAGTGTTTGTGAACGGTTTAATTCCAAAAAGGTAAGCAAGTGCCAGGGACCTCCTGCATTGTAATGAAGCAAACACCAGGGACCTCCTCCGTTTTAATATGTTGTTATGGTGCCCAGAGTGTTCCTTTAACAAATGGCATTGGGTCCCTTTTTGCCAAACCAATAATAACAAGTGTTTACTGAATCCAGTAAAACCTGGTCACATGATTGTGTAAGCCCCATAGGAAAGCACTGATTCAGTGCTCTCCTATAGGGAAGTTTGAATGTGCGTGCAGTGCTTAAATATACTATCAACCGGTAAGTGATGAGGAAGTGATGACAAACTTGTCCTGGGGGGAAGGGAAATTGACTCAAATAACGACATAATATAATGCCAACAGACAACAGAATGCATGGAAAATGTGCTGAGAGTGTCCAAAGTAGAAGAACGAGATAAACCGGTATATAGGAAAGTGAAAATAACCTTTATTGCTGTGTGTTGTGGACAGAATATTAGCTAAAGTAAAATGCCTATTTACTCTGCATAACAATAATCAGTATTATTCAGTGACTACTCAAAATGGCCGCTGGGAGTCACCCTCTCCCATCGTGTAACCAAGATGGAGCTGGAATCCGGGGGAGAATTTCATGATAACAGTAACATGCACACCCAGTAGGATGTGCATTGAATAAACCACCTAACATCTGACCAATTATTGTTGTATTTTTCTCTGTTATCTGTAATTATGCATGTGATGTATTTGTGCTTTATAAGGGGCTCCCAGCCCCCTGATTAAACATTCCTGAGTATTTCATCAACCGGGAAACATGTCTGGTGTGATTTACTTTGGAAAGCGTGCATGCACCAAAACCAACTTGAAAAGGGACAGATACACAAAAATGATCAAACACTTGATTTGATCCTTATCCCTGTGCTGCCCATTAAATCCAACCAGAAAGTCTGAAAAAATGTGCAGATAGTAAAAGTAAGGCGCCAAGGCCGAGAGATCCACAGAAGTAATTGAGTAGAAAGAAACATATGTCTTTTACTGTCAAAGGAATCCTAACGATCAATCAGTATTCAGTACCTTGTACCATTTAAACTACTAGAAAAGATTGTCAGGCTATTTAGCAAGCCTATAGTCCAATCCAGGGATCTAATCAATGACTAATGTAAAACTCATACCATAACAACATGCAAAAGATGGTGTATGCGTA